CTTTTTCTTTTGAGGATTTTAAGGGTAGAGAACATTCCATATTAAGATATTTTTGTAATATATATATATACACTAGTTTTCAATATGTGCATGATACATGTGCAATTTTTATTTTCAAAAATTCATTTCAATAAATAATTTTTTGATACTATCATAATAATGATAAATTTTTTAATAATTTAATTTTGATTTTGATATACTATAAGTAAATTTTAATAACTTTTGATATAATTTTGATTTTAATAAAATTTTGGTGACCTTCGATATAATTTTCGTAACTTATGATATAATTTTGGTAACTATTGATACAATTTTGCTAATTTTTTATAAAATTTTAATAAGCTCTTAATGTACTTTTTGTAATTCTTTAATAATTTATGATATACTTTTGGTAATTATTGATAAAATTTGTATTATTATTTATTTACTAATGGATTCTTGTAGGAAGGGGTGAGTTCAGTTTTAGTATAAGATAATTTTTTTATACAATAACATTATTATTTCGTTGAAATTTAGAATTTTTTCATTAGTTTTTTTGTTGAATAGATTTGTAATAGGTTTATTCTTGTTTTCTAGGATAAAGTTTCTTACTCTAATTCTGTTAGTAATGAAAATTCAATTTTTTACATTTCAGTATAAAAAAATTATCAATGATTGATAATTAAGTTATCATTAATTTACTATTATGTTATTAACAATTTACTACTAATTTATAAAATAGTATGCTTCTAAATTATCAATTATTTATTATTAAATTAGCTTTAATTTACTCCTAATTTATAAATATTTTACTATTAAGTTATAACTTATTTGTTATTAAATTGTTGATGATTTTTTTGCTAAATTACTAAATATTTATTATAAATTTATAATTAATTTATTATTAATTTATCAATAAATAAATTAAAAAGAAAAATGATTGACTCACCCCCTCCGAGACGGATTCCATAAATATGCTGCCGCTGGTACTGTTTGTAGCATTTATCTAGGGATAAAGGCAAACAAAAGATGATTAGTTTTTGGCACGAACTTGACCTATATGTACTTGACCTAATTGCTAATTGTTAATAAAGATAAACAGGTAGAAAAAACAAAAAGAAAAAAATATATTAAAGAGTAAAGTAAATAAAACAAAAACTAACGGTTCGATCAATAAATTTTTCAATCGTACCTAATAAATTAAAATACAAGTCATTGAGGGCTGGGGACGGCGGTCGTTCTTCACCTTCGAAAATTTGGGATTAGGTTCGGCACCACCATCTCTTCTCCGCATGTATGGCATCGTTCACTCCAAAGCCATTATCACTCACACTCTCATCTCTCTCATTTGTCTCCCACCTTTCTCAAGTGCACATTTGGTCTCTAAGGTAAAATTATTCTTGTCTTTGTTATTTTCTATTTATGTTCTTGTATAACGTTATCGTGTTTTTAGTTATCAATTTTAAATTTATAATATTTTTATTTAATTTTATCTCAATTTTTCATTAGTTTGAGATGGAAGGATGCTGCAATTTACGTGTGTAAAGTGTTGGTAATTTGTTTCAATTTTAGATTGAATTGAAGGATGTTGTGTTAGATTTTAATATGGTTTCCTCATTATTTGAAATTACTATATTTCAATGGCATAAAAAAATTATTTTTTTTGCTTTAGGTGGATTTTGACTCTGTTTTTTTTTCAATTTCAGACTGGATTTGAGCAAAAATTAAAGTTCAAATAATTAGATCGGTTTGAGTTTAGACAAATATTTGAATTGTTAATACCATGTTTAGGTTCAGATCATAAATATGTCTATTTTATATTTATGAGTATGGTTAAGTGCTAATAAGAATCCATTAAAAATTATTTAATTATTATTTTAGAAAAACTTTTACATTTAATGTGTTACTTTTACTAAATTAAAAAAAAAAGTAATGTTTTCTTTCCTTAAATATACCTTAATCATTGCCTAATGACACTGATTAACAATTTTCTACTTTATATAATTTTCTTTCCTCACACCAAAATTAATTAGTTTTATCCAATATTTTCTTTTAAGCTTCTACACCAAAATTACTACCACCTACTACTGCACTTGTTCATTAAGGATTGCTCTAATTTTACAATAACATTTCGTTTTACTGGATTGCATTGTTTCTTTCACCTAATCAAAGAACCTTGACTTATAATATATGTTTAAAAGTTGAAAAGATAAAAAAAAAATACAAATGTAATTGTCTCGTACAAAGTAATTAAGATGATGCTGTGGCACCATTATTACTAAATAATAACTCAAATAATGTTTAACTTATGTTTTCTAAATTAGTATGAGCTATGATACCTCTTTCAAATAAAATATTTGAATTGTTTCCCTCAATTCATATAACAACAAATTGATCAATAAATAAACAATTATAAACTCATTGATCTAGATTAATATTTTTGCAATACGAATTTAAAATCTTCAAAAGAATATTTATCTTTTAATCTGTGCAAGACTTGGATATAAGGATTTGCTTCTAGAATTATTATTAGTATTTCCATCATTTTTGCACTTAAATTTTTATTGTATTTTATTCTAATTCTATTTTGAAATTTATTGTCAGTGTCATAAAAATATAACTAAAATAATATGGATTAATCAATTTGAACTTGAAATAATTCAAAACTTAAATTAAGTATAAATAAAATTTTTACTCCTTTTAAATTTTATTTTAATTAAAAATAATATAATACACATAATTATAAATATGAACTAACTGAATTCAATTTCAATTGATTTTAAAAGTTAACAACTTAGTAGTTATTTTGAAATCCAAAATGATTGAACATAACCAAAATCTGAATTGAAATAATAATTCAATCAAAATATAATATTTCTTATTTTATCTTTTGTGACAATTTAAAAGTTATTAGTTTAAGCTTTGTTTCTTCATCTTCAATGTCTTATTTTTATTTTTTTGGATGAATTAATTAATTAATTTTGAAAGCATTTCTAAAATGAAATTGCCATATAAGTAATTGAGTATTTTTTATTTAGATTGTGGACAATTTGAATCCATTTTTTAAATAAAAAGAAATATAAATCAATTATTGAGTCAAATTTATTCAGTTGTATAAGTGAAAAAATTAGTACACTATGAATAAAAGTAAATGATAAAACTTGACTCAATCTAATTGGTCATTGATCCTAAGTCTAAAATCCAACTTGAAATTATGAAAAGTCAAAATTCAAAACGATTGAAATACTAAATATACAATTAAATAAGATTTATCAAATGAATTTTTCTAATAAATGCTTTTAAATCAGGTTTAACTTAAAATATAATTTATAATAATTTTTATATTAAATGTAATAGTAATAATTAATTCAATGAATTTCAATTCTTTTGAACAAATATTACCTAGTATGACAACCTTAAAATTTTTTATACAACAATAAATATTCTTCAATTGACATAAAGGAGAAAATGAAAGAGTATACAATATTTTTTCAAATAAAAGAGTTTCATATTAATCCTAAAAAAATTTGAAACCAATACATTTGTATATTTTTCATTAAACATCATATATCTCTAACAGTCTTTATCATATAGAAAAAAAATAGAGTTATGCATAACCAATCAATTTTTTGTCTCATTTATCTGCTTAGGATAATGTTCTATTAATGCTTCCATCAATTGAATGTAAATGTAAATTCTATCAATTAAAAGCTTCAATTTTCTTTTATTTAAAAAGTTTTTTTATACATTAATTTTTATTATATAAAAATATTCAAATGCATATTTTAAAAAATAAAATAAAATAAAATAAATTTCTAACATTTGGTACTTGTCATGTTTTATTTTTGAAAATTTCAATTCTGAGAATAACAAACTTGTTATGTAATACCTATATAATTTATAATGATTTCATTTTCAGCCTTAACAAACATAAATTCTTATGAATTAATAAACTTTGCGATAAACATATTCAAAAGATAGTTCAAATGAATTTTGTCGACACTTTAAAATACTTCACAAAAATAATTTAATTTTACTTCACTTGATAATTTTTTTACTTAAAATAATTCATGTTAGGTTGTTCAATCACTTAGATGACCGAAAAAAGTGTAATTTAATATAATTGAAAAAATTAAATAATTTTGAGATATAAATTAATTATATATATAAGCATATTAAGATAAAAGTTGAGAGAAAAAATAAATTGATTATTATTTCAATCAAGGTAAAACAATTCTTATAATAATTTGACAACACCCAATCTTGAGCTATTGGTAGCCACTGTTTTCCAAATTATTTAATTCTACAAGTGAAAAGTCTAATTAAAATTCAATGAATTATATAGTGCTAATTGTTGGTAAAGGAGATGCAATTGATTAGCATTTGATTTGATATTAATTATAAAATTCTAAAGAAAATAATACAAAAGAAAAATTAATTATAAAGGTCATACTAAAGAATAAGAATGATATATTAAAGAATTATTTCAAGGAACTAAAAAGATTTAATTATGTTATTAATGATCAAATAAACATATAAATAATAAAATTATTATCATACATATATAGTTAATATCTTAAAACAAAAAATTGAAAGGCAAAAAATAGAAAAAAAATTTGCTTAAATGACTTAACTATAATTATTTTTAATAAATTTATTTATCAATATAAATTGTATACACAATTGTTTTTACAACAACTAAAGAAACAAACTTTATATAATTGTTTTATTCTTATACACGTTAAGCTTTAATATTGTTTTATTTATATTTTTATTTGATGTGAAAAATCATTCTACTTATAAAAAGTATGAAATTGGGTATTTTCACCCTTAAATCTAATTGATTAAGGGCAAACATGTTTGAAATTGGGTAAAAGTATAAAAGAGAAAAAGAGCAAGAACTGTGAGAAGAGATATTAGTACCTTTTGGAACTTATTGAAAGAGTGATGGTACCTTTTAGGTCTGAATTTTCCTCTCCAATCTTGCCTTGAGAGAACAAGGCTAACATAGAGCCTACCCTTCAAGCTGTCCAAGAAATTGAAATAGGCATGTCTCCAGGAACTCCAAGAACAAATCCAAATCCCATGCCAGCATAAAACCATTTTCCTAATACATCAGAGTCATCTTGAGTTCCTTCTGGTTGAACTCGAGGCACTCCACTCCTGATCAAATTGTTGAAAGTGGAGTGTTGCAAAATTCAAGATTATGGCAAATGCTGATGAAACAAAGGTTTGCAGTTGACTGCCTGTCTTAGTTTTCCCTGAAAAATTATTATCCGTCGAGTCCAAGCTACTCCAAAAATGTTAACTCAGATAAGCTCGATGGGATGTTTTCCGAAAGTTTGTTTCTAGATAAATCAAGCGGCTGTAATCGCCTCAACTATCCAATCTTTCGAGGAATTGTGCCAGTTAAAAGATTTTTTTTTTATAAGTTCATTGCAATCAATTACCAAAGATTAGTTATTTCTTCAGGAATTTTTCCTATTAATTCATTACTTGAAAGATCAACGACTACTCATAGTCTTGAAGATTTTTTTTTATATCCTTGCCTTTTCAATCCACACTGTGGTATGGCATCTTTACTGAGAGGTCTATGATTCGAATATATTTCAATCCACAAAGTTGATGGGGTATCTTTCCGTTCAATTAATTTGTTTGAAGGCTTAGAAAAACCAAGGACGATCAACTCTGACCAATCCACATTGGCATTTTTCCTGATAACATATTATATCTTAGATCCAGAAACTTTAACTGCATACAATTCTGTAAAGATGAAGGTAATTCTCCCGAGAATCTATTACCACGTAAACTGAGCATTTCAAGAGAAGCCAGATATCCCAAAGAGAACGGAATTTGGCCTGACAAATTGTTGTTTGCCAAATTCAAAGCTGTTAGATTTGGGAAGTTTTCAAAACAGTCAGGAACCTCTCCAGACAATAAATTATTGGAGAGATCAAGCAGTTTCAAGTAACAATGACAGATAATATTGCCAATTGAAGAGATTGAATTGGAAAACTTATTTTTGGATAGATTTAAAGACTCCAAATAAAAAAATAACAGTTTTGGCAATGGACCCGAATAATTATTAGAGCTCAAATCTAGATGATTCATTTTACGTGATTTATTTGGCAAAGTACCCTTGATCAGATTGAAAGAGACGTTTAAGTATTGTAAACATTTCAATTAGTACCTGTAATACCCATAAAAAAAGGACTATTTTAAGTATTTTTATAAGTGGAGGGACTCTTTAATAAAGAATGAGAAATGCATAGGACCTATTGATAAATAATCTAATTTTTTAATAGGGTTAACTGTTTTTGGTGGACGATTAATCAAAAAAAAATAAATCTTAATTCTTCTCTCTTTCTTATACAAAAAAAAGATAAATCGAAAGATTCCAAATAAAAGGTAACAATAAAATCTACAAGGAGAATTGTTTATCAAGGTGAGTAAGTAATTTCCTTCAATTTTGGAGAAATAATGTTGATTGTTATGTCTTGACGTGTAATTTATAATCGAGAAATCTTAAAATTTTAGGAAATCCATTATCCCTCTTCAAGATTTGTTTGGGCAATGTCATAACATATAGATTCAAAAATCTATAGTTAGATTTAACAAATGAATGGAGTCGCCACCAATCTTTTATTAGGTGTGATTGGTCACCTAGGGAATCTATCCTTTTAAAAAACTCCTAAGCTTGACTAAGGGTCCCTAAAAGAATAGGTTCGGGTCTATTAACCAGAACAAGGTTCGAGAGCTCGGTTACATATGGGAAAGGTTATAGCACCCCCACATGCCCATCCAAGGGATGGTACCATATTATTTCAAATTTATCCTAAGGTTCGAAGTCTAATGGTTTCAAATATTTAAAACAATTTTTAAGATTCTCCATCAATCTGGTATAACTCTTAAAAAATACTTCCTCACCTCAAGAGTATTCAAGAATCCCATTTGATTTCTTGAAAAGGCTCTGTTGTCAAAAAATGATTTATTTATTATTATCAATTTTCGTCGAAAATAAATCTAATTATTCCACCATTTGGGCCAAATTAAAAATTTTTTTTTTTGAATTTCTAAAATTTCCACCATTTGGGCCTATTTAGAAATTATTTTTTTTTCTTGGAAAGAAAATAATATTACAATTATTTTTATTGAAATTTCATCTAAATTATTCCACCATTTTAGTCAAATTTAGAGAAAAATTTCTCACCTAGAGATTTATTAAAAATTTACTATTTGAAATTTCTAAGAAACTCATCTTTAGATAATTATCAAATATTTTCAATCCAAATTTTTATTTAGAAAATAATACAATTACTTGTATTGAAATTTCATCTAAATCATTCCACCATTTGGGCCAAATTTAAACAAAATTTCTCACCTAAGAATTTTATAAAAATTTACCATTTGAAATTTTTATAAATTCTATCATTGGATAATTAATATTTATTCTCAAAATTTTTATTTTTATTATTTTATTTTATTTTGATAAAATAAAAAAAAGTAAAACAAATAAATTAAATAAAATAAATTAAAAAAATATCGAAAATCTGAAAACGGCTTGGCTCAGGCTTGTGATACGGCTTGGCTCAAGACCAAAAATCATGGCTTAGATGCGCGGCTCGGGATCTCGGCTCGGCTGGAACCCAGGCAGAGAAACGAGTCGCTGGTTCGGGCGCGCTACGGGTTGGGTCGGATCTTGGCAAAACGTGTGGATCCTATGGGTTTACTAACACAAAAATGACGTCGTTATGGGGAGGGTATATAAGGCTGAAGATCGATTTTTTTTTTCAGAATTCCCTTCTCCTATTCTCTCTCTTCTCTTCTTTTCTCTCCCTTCTCTCTAAACAATTCTAGATTCCGATTGAATTCCTATCGAAATCTGGAAAAAGTACCGGAAACTTCAAATCTGACTGAAAAACTCATCGAAAAATCCAAACTTTGTCAAAAAATTTCGTCGAATTCGAAAAAAAAAACTTCTAAAAATCCTATACTACCTTTGAACACTTTTTGCTTCCATTTCACCTCTCTGTTTTCTTTTTTCCTCCCTGATTCCTATGTCCCTTATGTGTGATTTATGGACATATTTATAGGGATTGATCAGAAGAATTTATGATTAATCCCAAATCCTTCTGGGATTTGGATTCAATCTTTGAATCCAATCCCAACTCTGCCAATTCCCAAATCATGGCTAAATTCATTCCAATTTTTTTATCCTAATCCTAATCTTAACCGAAAATTAATCAAAATAAAAAAATAAATATATTAATAGATAACAAAAAATAATTAGATAAATAAAAGAAATAGATAAAAAATAAAATAAAAGTAGATAAATAATAAAAATATTAATAGATAAAAAAATAAGAATAAAAAAATATATATTAATAAATAGACGAATAATAAAAATAAAAATGAAAATAAAAATAAAAGCCAATTGGACCTGCTAATTAGATCCTGAATCGGACCCAATAGGCTTAAGCCTAAACCCTATTGGACCAGGCCCAATGGCCTTAGGCCCGGATCAAATAGGGTGTCTACAGCCACCCTTCTTTGCACATTTTGTGTGAAATAGGAATTGTGCAAAGATGTAGACACCCATTCAAGACTCAACTTGACATTTTTTGCCCTTTTTCTTTATCAAAGCTCCTCTAAGTAGAGGCTCTACGACTTTGAAAAAATAAACAAACCTCCTCTAAACAGAGGCTCCACGACCTTGAAAATAAATGGCTCCCCTAATCAAAGGCTCAACGACTTTGAAAGATAAATGGCTTCTCTAATTAGAGGCTCAACGACTTTGAAAAATAAATGGCTCATTTAATCAGAGGCTCAACGACTTTGAAAAATAAATAAATTCTTTAAGTAGAAGCACCATGACTTCAAAAATAAATGATCCTCTCAACAGAGGCACCACAACTTTGAAAAGTAAATTGCTCCTCTAAATAGAGGCAACCACGACTTTAGAAAATAAATTGCTCCTCTAAACAAAGGCAACCACGACTTTGAAAAATAAATTGCTCCTTTAAACAGAGGCACCACGACTTTGGAAAATAAATTGCTCCTTAATAATCATGTCCAAAGGAGTTATAGATTGTGACTGAAGGAATTTTGTAATGGGAACTCAAGGATTCAAAATTTGAGTTCAACATTCAGAGGTTCAGATTCGTGAAGAATCTTTCAACTTCGATAAGAATTTACTGAAATTCTTGATTCTTAAAATTTCACTTTCATTTCAAATGTAATATCTCCGAGATTTGCATTTGCAAGACTTGCAAGACTCGCATATCCAACATCTAAAATATCCTTATCTGCACTTTTGAGATTCAGATCCAAAAAGTTCAAGGGCTTTGTTCAAAGTTCTCACTTTTGGGCAAACTTGAAATTTCAGTATCCAAAAATCTAAAGCTTTTTATTTGAATTTGGAGATTCACATCCAAAATTCAAAGCTTCTCATTTAAGTTCAAAGGCTCACATGCAATAAAACTTAGAGTTTCACATCTAAGTTCAGAGGTTCTCATTCATATCCAAAATGTTGAAGCTTTGTATTTTGGAGATTCACATCCAAAGTTCAAACTTTTCATTTGGTTCGAAAATTCACATTCGATGAAACTTTAGGATTTCACTCCTCAAAGATTCTCATTTTGAAATTCAAAGATTCTCATTTGAGTTCTCAAAAATTCTCATCAAAATATTCATAATTTTTTTTCAAGTGACTCAAAATTTTGTATGAATGAATGTTATGACCAAAAATGCAAATGCCTTCTTAATGATGCAAATGCGACAACCTAGATTCTCATAGTGCCATGCATGTCCAAAAAAAGTTTAATTCATCAAATTATGTGCATGTACTATTCAAGCAACGATGCCACATGATACATATAATACGGATATTAATAATGTCATGAAATCCTAAATAATTATGGTAATATGACTCTTAAAACTCCACTATTTCGTATTTCTTCCTTGTTCAATTTCTTAATACTTTGGGATAAGTTTCATTAATCGATCATCACTTAACCATCATTAATGGGCTTTTTGGCACTAATAAATTTCAGAACAAGTTTCATCCACCATCACTGGGTCACTACTCATAGGTGTCTCAACATTAATCATTCTGAACAAACTTTATCACCCATCAGTAGGTTACACTCATAAGTTTCTCAACCCTAACCATTTTATCCACTGATCTATATTATTTTCATCATTCAATCATAACTCACAAGTCATGTCGATCAATTCATTACTTAGTCATATCACCTCTTCAAGTTTTTGCATTCTCTTTATTTGTTGGCCAACCCATCACCATATTCATCATTTGACAACACCATGTGTTATCTCAAATCATCCTTCTCAGGCTTCTACGATCTCTTTATTTTTCTTTATCATCTTGGATTTTTTTTCAAATGAATGCAAGACTCTTTTAAGCACATATTCATTCATTCATTATCATTTCAATTCTTGACAAATACAATGCAATCAAGCATTTTCTCAATTCATTTTAGAGATGTGAGAACAAAAAAACAGAAGGTGCATTAAGAGAATGAGAAGTGAGTCTTGGTACTAAAGCAAATGAGGAAAGAAACAAGTTAGGAAGGATACATTTGGGACAAATGAATATTCAAACAATTTTGAGACATAATTCAAATTTTTTTCAAAAACTCATTCCAGTTGGATGTCAAAATCATTTCTGGTCATCAAACTTTACCCCAGCTTAGAGGAATCATCTAAATGCCATTGATCTGTCTAATTATTTGGAACTATCATTAACTTTTCACTCGAGAATTTGTCTTACCCAAATTGCCCTTTCGGGTTTTTAATCTGAGTCTTCCTTTTTCCTCTTTCATTTTTTTCTCTTTTTTTTTCATTTTCCCTTTTTTTTCTTTTTTTCACCTTCACCATTTTTTTTCTTTTTTTTTCACCTTTCATCCATGTTGATATCTCTCAACACATTAATCTTTTTAGGGTAATAACATGATTCATCATGAGCACACCTTTGCCCAACATATGATTATTCAATTCGAGCATTCACACTTGATTTCAAATGACTTTTCAAGGTTGTAATGTAGGCCATGGTATAGGGTAATGAAAGAAATTGATAAAATAGGCTCAATATATATGTTTAAAAGGTTCAAAACCAAAAGATCATCACTTGATGCAGCTTGGCATTTTGCCCCACTCTATATCATTTCACTAGTTTTCCCTTTTTCTATCTCATTCTTCATAAGAAGATTCTCATTTCTTTGCCCCAAATCATTTGTGGCATTTTTCTTTTTTTTTTTCTTTTTAGATCTTTTAGACTATTTTTTTCTCAAAAAAAATTACCCCCAAGTATGGAGGGTGATCCTTGGTCAAGGGTTTTTAGAAAAGAAAATCACAATAGGCTCAAAGGGGTAGCAATGAATGGTTTTTCAAATGGTAAAAGAAAGATGGCCATTTTTCATCTTAATGTGGATACTTTTCTTGAACCTCATCTATTGAGCAAAAATAAGCTCATGGATTTGTAAAAAAAAAAACTGGCCATCTTTAAGATATATTAATCTCACATCTGTTAGTAGCTGGTTTTTTTTTTACTCCAATAATCTCCTTAAATCAATGTGAATGGGTTTTCAAAATTAAATTTCAAAATTATTGCTGCTATTGTCTAAACATTCATCGTTCGAAATTCAAGAATGGGAACAAAAGTTATGAAAGGTGACAAAGCATGGAACAGTAGTTGAATGAAGAAGAAAATGTAATGAAATATATTAAATTGCCTTTTATTGAAATGATAACAAATGAAATCCTACTACCTAAAAGAAACCTAACATTACTTAAAAAAAAAAAATCCTAAAATGACAAGAAACTTTCAACCAGCCTTATCTCCATTCTCCAAAATTGTCCCCTTATGCGATTAGGTGAAGAATCTTTATTGACATCTTGCCCCTCAATTCATTGTGACTCTCCGGACCCTTTCTGACTAATGTGTTTTTGATTTTCACTCAGAGCATTATGATTTGGTAATGGGTTGCCACTAACATTAGGTGTTGTTGCTCTTCCTTGATCAAAACTTACCATTCCATCATTGATTAACCGTTGCGCCTGATGCTTTAAAGCAATGCAATTTTCAGTAGAATGACCAGTAATTCCATAGTGGTAGTCACAGTGGGCTATAGGATCATACCACTTAGGATAGGGTGGCTTGAACGGCTCCACACGGCTAAGGGCAATCAAGTGGCTATTATAGAGTTCTCAATATAACTCCGTATAAGTCATGGAGATTGGATCAAATACAAGTTTTTCTTGAGTAATCCGTTGCTCTCGTGAACCACTTGCTGGGTTAGTAGGGTGAATTTAAGGTCTTGCAGGAGTTTGAATGTTAAGATTATATGTAAGATCTTAAGGGCTAAAAATTGATCGGTATGTGGATGAATAAGGTGGTTGTGGAACTAGCTGGTTATTCACAGCAGGATAGTATGGAGAGTAACCTGGGGGTGGATAGGATTGATAACCCCTGAATTGTTACCTATCAAAGCTCATAGCTTGAGCTTCAAATTTTTTTTTCTGATACCCTCTTGGTTTTTCCTCCTTTCAGCTTACCATTCTTGATGGCACTTTCAATAATTTCTCCAGAGATCACCATGTCGGTGAAATTCTTTGTTGCATTCCCTATCATCTTTTCATAATAGAGAGATTTCAAAGTGTTGACAAACAGCACTGTAGTTTTTTTCTCAGTCAGAGGAGGTTGTACTTGAGAAGCAATATCCCTCTACCTCTGGGCATACTCCATAAAAGTCTCATTGGCCTTTTTCTTTAGGTTTTATAAAGATAAATGATCAGGGGCCAAATCCATGATATGTCGATATTGACTGATAAAATCATGGGCCATGTCACTCCAGGAACGGATGCAAGTTTTTGTCTAATTGGATATACCACCTAATAGCAGAACCAGTAAGACTGTCTTGGAAAAACATGTATTAGTAGCTTTTCATCATGAGCATGGGCTGCTATCTTTTGATAATACATGCTAATATGAGTTTTTGGGCACTTTGTACCATCTTATTTTTCAAATTCTGGTACTTTAAACTTATGAGGAATGACCACATCAGGGATTAAGCAAAGCCCAGCAACATCAACTGAACCATAGAAACCAATTCCTTCCACAACCTATAGCCTTTGTTCTAGCATACTAATTTTGGAGTTTTCCTGAGCTTCCACTTTTATCTTTTCCTTGTCTTTTCCTTTCAGTTCATCCAGATCAGGGATTTGAATTGGTTCAACTACCTTTTCAGTAAAGACAGGATTCACATAGCTATGGTAATGTCCTGGATTAGAGGTTGATGGCATTTCAGGATATGTAGGATATTTGAAGTGTTGTGGTAGAACCTCTTATGTAGATTGGGCTTGAGGTGGACCAAAACCAAGTGGATATAGAGGGTCAGTCACTTCTTGCGATGCAGGGCCTTGTTGGCTTGTGTTCTCTTCTACTCTTTTCCCCTTATTTAATTTGTTGAGAGCATCCAAAATTTTTCGTAACTCATTCTCAATCTTTTCTTAAGCTTTCTTCAGTTTTTCAAATCAGTGAGAATTTTCTTATTTTTAAATCAGTGAGAATTTTCTTACTCCATTTGTTTGGCCCTGGCTCTTGTATTATATCAGTGGATGAGGTTTCTGCTTGATGGAGCTATCCTTGAACCTTTAGCATCACAATTACAATTAGAAACTATGTATGATATGCAAATGTATGCATGAAATGTACTAATGTTTGCCACATCATTGATATTGATAAAAGAAATCTCTATTTGAAACTTTATAAAATTTTAAAATTACGTCCTAATAAAGTTAAAGCAATATTCTAAAGTCCTAAACATCATTCTTTATTTCTAGTGCCTTTTTATAAACTTCGTAGCTTGTTGGTAATGATTTTGTGCTTCATTTAGGAAATCAAGTAAATGTCGCCCATGCACACCTACTAGTTGCACCATAGCCTTCAAACTTTCCACTTTTTCTTTCATTTTTGATGCTTTGTCTGCAACAATGCATATCTGATCAAACAGATACCTTAGATGCCTTTGTTTTTCTATACACATGTCTTTCCATACCTCACTCTGTTGAGCTTGTTTCCTGCACTCATCAGACAAAGCTTTTACTTATGCTGTGCATTGATCCACTATCTTTTGTAGCATTTGACTATGTCTATGTGCCCTAGCAGTAGCCTTTTGTTCTTCCTCCACCCTTGCTTTTAATAATTCAATTTTTTTAAAAAATCAAGCAAGCTCGAGTGTGACTGACGAATGTGTCATATCTAAATCATTAAATAAGGCTCTCCATTGATCTTTTTGCTCTGTAAGGCTTTGGATTTTTAGTTCTTGAAGTCATGTACATTCTCCTATTTCTATCTTCAATCGCTTGTTTTCTTGTTCTAATTCATCTTTCTCAAACTGGAGTTTTCTCTTAGCTATTTCCATTTTAAGCAAAAAATCTTGAAGAATAGGCTTTGGGGAATGCCGTAACTATTCACTAGGAATCACAATGTCTTTCCCCCTCCTCGCATGCCACACACTATATTCTAGAGTGACGTCATAAGTAAACCTCCCTTGGTTAACCCTGGTGGTTTGCTTCCATGCTTTCTTGATCTTTTCAACCATTCCATATACCCCTTTATCAGTGAATGAGAACTCCCCTTGGTTAAGTCCATAGGTTTCTGGAATGAATTGCTCACATCCGGATTGTCTTTTTACTAAAGCTGGAGCATAAGTAACAGCACCCCATAGGTATAATTAAAACACCCATGGCTAATTTCCACATCTGTATAACACCGTATCATGACGCATCCAAGGTGCTTTCCAAACTATCCCTTGACTATCAAGGGCTCAAAAATTGAAAACCCATTCCTCTTTTGACTTTGCTTGAGGCCATGTGCTGTAACAAAATTCTTTGATGGGGATATTGGAACGAAGGTATGGTTTGCGAAATTGACTTTCTTTACATTTCGTGTGACTCTTGATCCATATATAAAACAACTATAAACATCCATTAAATCGACCTTTACCATTTCTGCCACAAAAGTTTAGAGATCGAATGGTTTCTGCCAAAATGGTTGGTGCTGCATTGACCTAATATGCTAACTAATCAACAAAATTTACCATTGCAACATCAACATATCTGATGACTTTCAAAAAGACCACCAATCCATATAAAGCTATAGCCATAGCTACTAATCCTTAATCATCATCTATGTGCCCCTGAATGAAATCTCGTAAAAAACTCCATGGAATAGCCTTACTTTCACCCTTTATCTTGACACATGAATCAATTTGAGGCAAACTAAGTCCAAGCATTTGCACTAGTTTTTTACGATAGCCCACCTTGTTGGCCTAGTAAATCTTATCTGGGTTTACTAGATTGAAGTGAAATAAAACCATATACTATTCAATTGTGGGCACCATGTCTGCTTTGTTGAAAATAAAACATCTATATGAAGGATCCCAAAACTGAGTGATAGCCCTAATCAAATTATTATCCACTTGCACCTATAGCAGTGAAGCTATGTCTCTATATCTATTCTTAAATTTCTCCTGTCTTATTTTTTTCATGCATCCCCATATACTGCTTAAGTCGCATAAATCATTTTGCTGTAGCTTTAGATGAACTCTTTCAGGTAATGATGAAATAAAATCCTTAGGAAAGCAATCTCCTTATTTTCTTTGACCCTCTTTTGACTTAATTTTCAATTGATGAGCAGACTCATAGTGGACTGATGTAGACTTTGGTTGCATTTGGCTTTCTATGGATGTAAGTGTGAGATCTAATTTACCAATAACTGATATGCGACAAATATTTCTTATATGAAAATGATGCAAACGATAGTGTTAAATATGATCATGATATGGTAATGCTAGAACATAAGAATAGAGATGATGCATAGAATGAAATGCTAGAACATGAGAATGAAATGACATATAGATGCACAAAATTAGGCGGACAAAATGGTTAGATAACGAATTGTTCCTTCTTGTGTCTTAATTTTGGCTTGTATCTATTGATGGATAGGAAGGGCTTAAGTTGGTTTCTTAGGGGTGAACTATATGCAGGGTTAGAAAATTTTGACCACTAAAAGGTTCCCAAATTGTTCCTTACATCATTGTCCATCATAGACTAGTAAGGCAATCCAATCTTCACCCATCACAGGCTACAAACGGAAAGGATTCAATTTGAGTGGGAGTATTTCGCTAGCCATTACGGAGATTATCATCTCATGAGAGCGTAGGTACTTTACTTCCTTCTAAGAGGGACTGAGCCTGGGTATAGAGCTCATGTAATGCAAATGCATGTGATAGTGTGTGTGAAGGAACACAAAATTATCAATCCCGTAAATCAAATAAAAAACTGAAAAAGGAAAAATGTTAGTAAACAAATAACTTAAAGCCATTAGTTCAAAGGATAGGATAAATTCAGAAATTATGGCTTGACTCTCTAATCTCTTCGGTGGAGTCACCAAACTATCATAACATATAGATTCAAAAATCTATAGCTAGATTTAACAAATGAATGGAGTCACCACCAATCTTTTATTAGGTGTGATTGGTCACCTAGGGAATCTATCCTTTTAAAGAACTCTTAAGCTTGACTAAGGGTCCCTAAAAGAATAGGTTCGGGTCTATTAACTAGAACAAAGTTTGGGAGTTCGGTTACATATGGGAAGGGTTATAGCACCCCCACATGCCCATCCAAGGGATGGTACCATATTATTTCAAATTTATCCTAAGGTTCGAAGTCTAATGGTTTCAAATATTAGAAACAATTTTTAAAATTCTCCATCAATCTGGTAGAACTCTTAAAAAATACTTCCTCACCTCAAGAGTATTCAAGAATCCCATTTGATTTCTTGAAGAGGCTCTGTCGTTGAAAAATGATTTATTTATTATTATTTATTATTATCAATTTTCGTTGAAAATAAATCTAATTATTCCACCATTTGGGCCAAATTAGAAATATTTTTTCTTTTGAATTTCTAAAATTTCTACTATTTAGGCCTATTTAGAAATTCTTTTTTTTCTTGGAAAGAAAATAATATGACAATTATTTTTATTGAAATTTCATCTAAATTATTTCACCATTTGGGTCAAATTTAGAGAAAATTTCTCACCTAGAGATTTATTAAAAATTTACCATTTGAAATTTCTAAGAATCTCATCTTTAGATAATTATCAAATATTTTCAATCCAAATTTTTATTTAAAAAATAATACAATTACTTGTATTGAAATTTCATCTAAATTATTCCACCTTTTGGGCCAAATTTAGACAAAATTTCTCACCTAAGAATTTTATAAAAATTTACCATTTGAAATTTTTATAAATTCCATCATTAGATAATTAATATTTATTCCCAAAATTTTTATTTTTATTATTTTATTTTATTTTGATAAAATAAAAAAAACAAGTAAAACAAATAAATTAAATTTAAAAAATACCAAAAATCCAAAAACAGCTCGGCTCAGGCTTAGGATACGGCTCGACTCAAAACCAAAAATCATGGCTTAGATGCGCGGCTCGAGATCTCAGCTCGACTGGAACTCGGGTGAGAAACGAGTCACTAGTTCAGGTGCGCTACAGGTCGGGTTAGATCTTGGCAAAACGTGCGAATCCTGTGGGTTTACTAACACAACAATGACGTCATTTTGGGGAGGGTATATAAGGCTGAAGATTGATTTTTTTTCAAAATTCTCTTTTTCTTTTCTCTCTCTTCTTTTCTTTTCTCTCCCTTCTCTCTAAACAATTTTAGATTTCGATTGAATTCCTACCTAAATCTGGAAAAAGTCATCAAAAACTTCACATCTGATCAAAAAACTAGTCAAAAAATTCAAACTTCGTCGAAAAATTTCACCGGATTCAAAAAAAAAACTTCTAAAAATCCTATACTACCTCTGAACACTTTTTGCTTCTATTTCACCTCTCTGTTTTCTTTTTTCCTCCCTGATTCCTGTGTCCTTTATGTGTGATTTATGGACTCTTTTATAGGGATTGATTATAAGAGTTTCTGATCAATCCTAACTCCTTCTGGGATTTGGATTCAATCTTTGAATCCAATCTCAACTCTGCCAATTCCCAAATCACGGCCAAATTCATTCCAATTTTTTTATCCTAATCCTAATCTTAATAAAAAATTAATCAAAATAAAAAAGATAAATATATTAATAGATAACAAAAAATAATTAGATAAATAAAAGAAATAGATAAATAATAAAATAAAAACAGATAAATAATAAAAATATTAATAGATAAAAAATAAGAATAAAAATATATATATTAATAAATAGATAAATAATAAAAATAAAAATAAAAGCCAATTAGGCCTGCTAATTGGATCCTGAATCAGACCCAATAGGCTTAAGCCCAAACCCTATTGGACCAGGCCCAATGGCCTTAGGCCCGAACCAAATAGGGTGTCTACAGGAAAATCATTTAGACTTTAATTAGGGTCTAATAAAGTGTTGAAAAAGTTTAGTGCAGGCTGTTAAAATTAGTTACTTGAGTTAATTCTTGTTTAACTTAATTATTTTGGTATAAGTGGTCTCAAATAGGTTGAGTAACTACTATTATATTGAAATTATCTTGAATAGGTTGTTAATTATTTAGGGGGGGAACTAAGTAATGGAGTCAGAAGGAGATAAGTAGAATCTCACACATTTTACTTGTTTTCGTACCTATGTATATATGTAAGTTTCTAAATGAGTAAATATTTTATTTCATTATTTTTGATATATGAAAATAGGACCACGCATATGATTATTTTGTGCTTTTGCAATATAAATGATGGATCATGCCTATAAATGAATGAGAAAATGATTTATGCTTAAGGAATGATTTTATGATAGCTACGTTTTTACATCCCTGGAAGTGGGATCATCAACACCAGAAGTAGTTCTATAGCCATGGCTAACGGGTAATAGTAGTTAGCATAGATATAATCATATGGCCCTATTAACGGTTATAGTAGTTAGCGTAAGGCCCTAGCTAGCAGGTTATAATGGTTAGCAATGATCATGAGGATGACATTGTCGATGCGATCAATGTCATAGGTTATAGCAGTGACCGTAGCTTATGATAAATGATAATAAAGATGATTTATAATGATGATGATTTACAATATTTTTAATGATTGATCCATGATTTGGTTTGATTACGATATTTGAATGATAGCATATTTTGCAATGATTTAGGAATTGATATGTTTTGACATTAATTTATGAATTTATGAAATGTTTGATAGAACGATGATTTTTTAAATATTTTGACATTATTATTTGATGAATGTTTTGAATGATTTATATGATATATATGAAAAAGATACTTGATCCGATAAGGTGTGTAAGTCTATACTTACTGAACTATGGTTTGCTCATTCTTTTTTTTTTTTTTTTACAGATGATATAAATGATAAGTTTGCTTAGTTATGTAAAAAG